ACATTGATGTGAGGGAAACACAACGACTGGGTGTCTTCCGCATGCGCCGTGACCAGGGTCAGGGATTGAGCCTGCAACTGAGATATGTGCCCTTGACCAGAATCGAACCCGGGACCCTTCAGGCCATGGGCCGACACTCTACCCACTGAGCCAAACTGGCTAGGACGAGGGCTTTACTTCCATGATTGTTACCCCTTCCCCCCATGGAACTGCTTCCAACAGAATCCCGAGCCAGAGCTCCCAGAGGTGAGGATCGGTGTCCGAATCACTTGGCTTCTCCTCAGGCCTTAGCATAGCACCTAGCGTTCAGGAAACATTTCGGGAATGGGTACGAGTTCAGTGGGTATGAAGAGAGCGCTCTATGGGGATTGAGGATGGCTGAAAGGAGTCAATTCCAAACCAAGCAAGGCAGAAAAAGACCGTCCGATGCTGTGAGGAAAGGAATCCAGTTAACTGTTCCAGAATCAATGCTAAAGGTTTTAAGAGAGAGAAGAAAAACCTTCAGTAGAGAGAAAGCTAACCTCAGAAGGCTCTCGGCATTCACTCAGCTACCTGCTGTGTGCCAGGAACCGTTTTAAACTCTAGAGATACAGCCATAAACAACAAAAAAGAAAGCTCTAGCCCAGCGGCGTGGCTCATAGGTTGAGCATCGATTCCCAGGCCGGGCACATGCCCGGGTTGTGGGTTCGATCCCCCGTGTGGGTTGTACAGGAGGGAGCCGATCAGTGATTCCCTCTCATCATTAATGTTTCTGTATGGAAGGGAAGTTAGCAGGCTTCTGAGCTAATTCAGGCGAAAGATGATGGATGTTACGTGTTACATTGGACCGAGCGAGTGGTGGAGGTGATGGGAAGATTCTAGATCTATCCTGAAGGTAAATCTGACATGAACTGCTTATTGCACATGGCAACACAGAATGATTTGATCGCGTTTCTTTCCATGGCTGGCTAACACGACTGACCAGGAAGCACAAAATCAAAGGTGGGAGTTCAACGCTACAGATCACCTCTGATGACCCCTGACCCCTTTGAAAACACATGCTACTGGTCATAAAGGGACAGGGCAAGAGTCAGGATGAGCCTGCTTCTCTACATTACCCATACATTACCCAGACTACAGTACCCGAGGTCCCACGCCTTCTCTACGGTAAGGTGCTAAACATTCTAGAACATATTTATGTAACTGAACACTCGCAGGCCAAGTAGAGTAACTCTGTGGGTCATTCAGATGCTTCTCACACATGGCCGCTTGGCCTTGGAAGTGTACGTCACTTGTCAATACATGTGGGGCGTGGGGACACTGTGGGGGCGAACAGAGATAAGCTCTTTGAGGCGAGTGGAGCGACAAACACGGAAACGATGGGATCAGAACGTGCCAAGTGGGACAACAGGGTCATGTGTGTGAAGCGCTGTGGACACATGCCTAACAGCTCCTGGGAAGGCATGGGGTGGAGACGGGAGCACCAGAGGGCCGCAAAGGAGGGGCGTTGTTGGAGCTGATTCCTAAAGACCAAGCTGACATTTCCCACGCAGAATCAGGGGTTGAAGAAAGAGAAAAAGCATGTTCCAGACAGAGGCAAGCCCACCACCTGGGCCTGGGCCCTGACCCGGGATTGAACCGTGACCTCCTGGTTCACTGGGTCACGCTCAACCACCGAGCCACACCGGCCGAACAAGAAATGCAAAGAAAGAAGAGGACAAAATACACCACACTGTTCCCCTCTGGGCTTCTCCTAGTTGTTCTTATGGAGGGCCCCCCGGCCCCCACACACACACAATGGAAAGCTCTTTCGGGAGCACAGATCTCTCCTGCCCTGGCCCTGGCCCTGCCCTCAACACGAAGCTCCCAAGTCATCCTCGGTCACGACTGGCTGACAGACCGATGATAAATGCGGCTTGACCAGCATGTTCCCGGCTAAAAATGTACCGTGCGGCCCATTTATAATTCCATGCATTATAAAGCACTGCTTCTAAATAGGTCGCCCCAAATTGTGGCTGACATGATCCCAAAATAGACGCGGCCCTTCCTTTCTGGTCCCCGGGCGAGCCTGCTCCGAGCGTCCCGGCTCTGTCGCCTCCTGGATCGGTTACCTGCGCCGCTGTTGCTAAGCAGGCCGGCAGCAAGCTCTTCCGTCCCACCGAAGTTCAAGAAGGACATGCCGTCGCCGGGCTGGCGGGAGGAGCTGTGCCTGCGGGGAAGAGCCCAGCCACCCGGCTTAGTGCAGATCCTCACCTCCTTTATCCTGCTCACCCTGCATCCCAGGGGTCGTCATCCAAAGCAGGACTGGCTGTTCAGCCACCCAGTCCCAGGCTGGCAACCGCTGGGATCCGTGTCACAGGCTACCAGGCCGCGGCGCGTGGTCCTGTGCCAGCTCCGGCCTCCTGTGACCAGCCCCTCCTGCCCTGGCACCTCACCTGCGATTGCCAAGGCTAGACCGCCTGCCCTTTCTGCTCTAAGCCTCCCCTGCTAACACCAACAGGAGGATGTGAGGTGCTCGAATAGAGGCAGCAAGTTCATCTGGTAGAGATGGTCACGTCGGTCTGTATCCCTCATCCATCCCAGGGGATGATGAGGTGAGTGAATGGGGTCGAACACTGCTCTTTGCAAAGTGTTGCCTAAAGCATCACAGTGAGTCCAGGCGTAACCCGGGCTCATGCTTGTCAAGGCTTCAATGGCTTTCTTCCTGGACCGAGTCTCTTTGGATGCCTCTAACGCAGTGGTTCTCAACCTTCCTAATGCCGCGACCCTTTCAGATCCTCATGTTGTGGTGACCCCCCAATTTCATTGTTACAAATTGAACATAATTAAAGCATAGTGATTAATCACAAAAACAATATGTAATTATATATGTGTTTTCCGATGGTCTTAGGCGACCCCTGTGAAAGGGTCGTTCGACCCCCAAAGGGGTCGAGACCCACTGGTTGAGAACCGCTGCTCTAATGCATTCAGAATTGTGGTTCAAAAAGGCTTGTTTTTAAAAACACAGACCTTGATTTCCACCGTTTTTTAGCATTGATTTATTCTAAATTCAGCAGTGAGATTTCTCAGTGACCAAAATGACAAAAGTCAGAGGCTGCCTGCCCAACACACACAGCAAGAATCACCGGTCTCGGCACCCCTTGTCAGCCTTGACCAAGGACTAGAAGGCATTCATGTCTGAGGTGTACAAACTGGGCTCTCAATTACACCTCCACTAAAGCAGGCCCTGGGCAACATTTCTGGCAAAAATGTCAGGCTGTTTGCTTTGAACTTGGCCCATTGAAGGGAGTGACGCGGACCCTGATCTCACACTGTCTCTTCCAGTCTCATCAACGTGACACTGTGTCAGCGGTCTGTTCTGCGCATTGTCTTGGGTGCCGAAGAGTGGTCTCGGGGTACCGTCCGGAGCCCTCGCACATTCTCACCTTCCAGCAGCTTCATGATAGGCTAACTCCAGCAGCTCTGCAGAGGAGTGGGTGGGGTCCCTCCGCCCGCTGCCCTGCAGCTCCGCCATGTTCTGTCGGGTCTGGTGATGGATCTGGATGGCCTCTCCGGATGGTCCTACCCAGACAAAGACCCCCTGAGCATCAGCCCCACCCGACAGCTCGTGCTGTGCGCTTGGCATCCATCTTCCTCCCATCTGGCTGCCGGGATGCGGGTGTTGCAGCCATTGAAGGAGCACACCACAGACCACACACACAGAGGCACGGTATCCCCGTGGCCCTCCGGCTCCCACACAGGACGTCTGCTCTTCAGAGCTGAACTCATCCTCCCGTGTGGCCTCGTGTTTGTCACCCTGTCCAGCCTAAGAATATTCAAGAGCCTCTTTCTCATGTGTGTACAACTGAGACACCACAGAGAAATACAGAAGTATAGGAGGCAAAGGCCCTTCCCAGGAAGGTTAGCACAAACCACATGAAAAGGACCACACAACTGAAACACCAATGGCTCCCCTGGCCGGTGTGGCTCAGTGCTTGAGCATCAACCCATGAACCAGGAGGTCACGGTTCGATTCCCGGTCGGGGCACATGCCCGGGTAGTGGGCTCGATCCCCAGTGCGGGGCGTGCAGGAGGTAGCCAATCCATGATTCTCTCATCATTGATGTTTCTCTCTTTCTCTCTCTCTCTCCCAAATCAATAAAAATATATTTTAAAAATGAAAGAAACACCAAGGATTCGACTAATATATAAGATAGCAACAACTGTGGCTCGAAGAAGCAGAAGATACATAAGCGCAAAAAAGGCGAGTAGATCATCAGAATTAGTCCAGTCTGCTTCCTAGAGAAAGAAGTTTCAGAGCATTGAAGTCAGCGAGGCTGATAGAGAGGAGGTCTAGGTGGAAGAAAGGATCCGTGTGAAACCCCAGGCGCGCAAGAGGCAAGACATGTGCAGGCGACGAGCTTGGGAAAGAAGAGAATCTCTGAGGATGGTGACAGTTGGGAAGCCCAGCAAGGGAGGGCCTGGCGATGAGAGGCCCAGGCGGGCGGAGGATGCAGCTCTGGAGATATTGTTTCAGTGAAGTGCTGCGTGTCGGGTGTTGGAGGAAAAGCACAGAAGCAAGAAGAGCGAAGAGTCACGGGAGAAACACCAATAGCCCTTCTCCCAAGAGAACACGAGGGAGCCAGTGGGATAGCAATGGGAAGAAAGAGACCCAGAAAGAAACAGGTCATGTGACTGATTATGACAGAGATCAGGAGGGCAAGAAGGGGACTGAGAATGACCCCCAATGACAGCCGAAAGAACCAGGTCCACTGCTCACTTATTTAACACTAACGCAAGAAAATTATAATAAAAAATAATAATAATAACAACTAGACATTTCCAGGCGTTCAGCAGGATGGCTTCCAGGAAAAACCCTGGCGTTTCATGCACCTGTCCCTTCCCAGCCCAGCAAGAGCCCCTTCAGCTGCAGGTGCATTCCAGCCACAGCTGCATAAAACCCAGAGAGAGGCAGGAGAGGGAGGAATGACCGAGAATGAGGGCCATCAGTCTTAGGAAAGAAAGCAGGTGGCAAAGCACAGTCTCTTTCAAACAGAACAACAGAAGCCCTCGGCTCTATACCGCTCACTACAGTCACAAAGCCCATTCCCAGGTGTGCCCTCGGGGTCCTCACGAGAACCCCTGGGGTAGGCAAAGGGGGCGTGGCTGCCCCATCTGACAGGCGGGGCACCAGGTACCAGAGGAGCTTGGATACTTGACCGTGGCCCCCTGGTTTGTTGGTGCTGAGGACCAGGCCTGGGAGCGCCCGGCCACGGCTCTTTCCTGAGCCACCAACTCACCCACAGGGAAGGTGTGCATCCAGCGCCTCCTGTTGGACGTGAGCTTCATGGGCATCCGTGAGGGGGCGAAGGGGTTGATCAGCGCCCGCTGGGGTGCGCAGCCCCCCGGTCGAACGTGCAGCATGGATTCCACGCTGCCCACGTGGAACCGCCCTGGCGCGCTGGAGTCTCGCTGCGGCGGCTCCACCATGTTCTCCAGGGCATCTGCCGGTTACGGTAGAGATGAGACACGGAGACAAGCACAGAGCCACAGAGGAACCAGAACCAGGCAGTCCGCTCTGCCAAGGCTGCCAAGAACCTTGGACAGTACGCATGCCGAGCAGTGAGGGAAATGAGTAAAAGCACCAAACCAGGGAGAAATGAAACCGTGGGTGTGTTTGCTTTTTAAACACTTAGTCTCGGTCCCCAAATGACTGGCCCAATGAAGCCACATCCAAACTGACGGGGAGGACCACACATCGCCTAGACTTAAAGACCCTGCACTTTAAGCTGGTATACGTCAAGGGCAGGACTTGAATTGCCTCCCGTGGAGATGGGGTGGGTATGTTCTGCATGTGAGAGGAACAATAAAATGTATATATTTGGATGACCAGCGGGCCAGACCCTGGCAGAGACAGTCCATGTGCTCGCTAAACCTGCTTGGTTTTCCTCGTAGGCACACAGACGGACAGCTCAGGTGGTTTGTACTCACTGCACTGGCAGGGAAATCATTAAACGTGGACTTACATCTGGCCACAACCCCCCACTCCTCCACCCCTCACTGCAGGAAGGAAGCTGCGCCCAGCTCTGCCCAGCTAGGCCCGGGCTTTGGCTCTGACCTCGCGTGCTGGTGTAGCCCAAGGAGCTGCTGACTTCATACTGGTGCAGGTGGGGGAGAGGGATCATGAGGATGTTGGCGCTCCTGCCCAGGGAGCTGTCATCGGAAGCCTGGCTCCTCACTTCCTCCGTGGGCAGCGCCCGGCTGGGCACGGAAGGGCTGGAGGAGACGTCGCAGGAGCTGGCACTCTTTCGACTGTGACTCTCCTGCTCGCGCACAGACCTGACGCGGGAGAGAGGACAAGTTACCGCCAAGGAAGGGACGCTGCCCCCAAACCGTCACCAGCCCAAGCTACTTGGGAAACCAGTAACAAAAGTCCCCAATGAGCCTGGGCCAGCGTGGCTCAGTGGCTGAGCGTCGACCTATGAACCAGGAGGTCAGGGTTTGGATTCCCGGTTAGGGCACATGCCCAGAT